ATCCACCATCAGATTAAAATCTAGTTAAACATTTCATTTTTTTCTAAGATAAAAACCTGTTGATTTCGTTCAATAAAGTAATTGTCAAAATGTACTCATTTGAATTACTCAGAGGCACTGTATTTAACCGGAACAAATTTTATGTAGAGATTACAATCGTATGAAACAGTTCAAACTGCACGATGCTGCAACTGACTTTATTTTCATCTAACTTGATGAATGCATATTTCATTTCAATTATTCAAATAACATGTTCTTAATTAATTGTGACCGATATCCTCGAAAATAGATCTCGTATACTGTTGTTGGTCTGTGGAGGTAGAGTAGCAGAGCTAAGTTATCTTTCTCCAAAACATTTAATCCTGCTCAGAATAATGCTGATCCTATCAGAAACAACATTTAAGTTTCTATTATAAAAGCAGTTTGGTCTTGCATATCCGTAGAAATACCTCCATGCACACTTCCCTAAAATAAAAAATTCAATAAAAAAAACTCCGTGTTCCTTAATATGCTTTGTAGAATAATTGCCTTATGGTGTAATGGGCAACCGATGAATTTTCTATTGTTTATGTCCTTTGGGCATCAATAATTCCATTTTGATAATAACTATTATGTTAAAATAATGCAATACTATTAAAATTATCTCCTTCACTTAAGTAATTAATTTTGGAATTGAACTAATGACCTCGTAAAAAAATAATGAAGTTTTGCGTTAATTGAATTTGAAAGATTTTTATATGTACATCGATGATGCTGCATTTAATTGATTATTTTAGCAGTGATGTTGATGAAAGTTAATGTGATTATCTGTCAGAAATCTAATATAGCAAACCCTCAATAACTGCATAGAACGATACATAAATGTCTAAAGCATTTAGTTTTGGTATAATTGAAGGTAATGATAAGTCAACGATAATGCGTTAATGAAATAATAATCTGTTCATAGTTTTCAATGACATCGTTATGACGTCATATTATATTTTTGATGTATTGATTTGTTTTGCATTATAATATGTGTAATTATAAGAGATATATGATAAAAGTATACATGAAAAGAGGCCTTTTTAATTACTAGTAACAGTCTTTCTCTTTCTTTTGTACGTCAAGTCTTACCGCTCTTTGATATTGCCGTTGCGGCATCCAAATGAGCGCAAAGCTCCATCTGGTTGAAGTGAAATTTAGAAGCAGAAAACAAATGATAATTATGATAGTGACTAAAAATTGATTTAAATAAACAGAAAGGTCGAGGTCCATGTACCAATCTCTCATAGGTTAACTACAATGTTCAAAGTTCCATAATTTATTTACGATGATGCAAGCTGAAACCAAATGCCTAGTAGACTTCTAAGTGAGAAATTATTTTTGTTTGCCTTCCATGTTAAGCGATTTCGATCATTTGGCTACAATTTACAATGACACAAAAAAAATGTACTGATAAGCGTTATTAGAAAATAGGATAAATGTATTTGCTCTACAAAATATTAATATTCGCAAACTGCATCTTCGAAAAGAAAAAAAATAGAATATGATAATCATTAAAGTTGTTCATAAAAGAAAGAACACGCATATTTCCGATTTTACTATTGATAATTTTACACTTGCAATGATAGAAATATTTTCTTCATACTCTAACGACATCAAACGAATAAAAAATAAACTATTTAATAAATAAGCAATCCCAATTGTGTGACGTCATTGCATCTTTAATTGAAAGACACTCGCTTCACTTTGTTATATTTTGCTTATAATTTCTGCTCGTTGCCTTCAACATCTCGTCGCCGTGTTTGTATTCATCATCATTAATTTTCATCACTATATACGCTGTTGCAAGCAGAAACCAATAACCAGGTTAATGAGATGCCAAACATTTTACTTCAATTGGAAATAACACAAGATAATTTTCCTTATAAGCATTATTAGAAATTATATTAAATTCACATTTTCATTGTATCTTTGAGAGACATAAGCAAAATTGTGTGTGTGTTTTACTTGCAGCTCGTGTTTGTTGTCCTCAACAACTGTTTTTGGTTTTTGTAACCGTTGATCTTAGTAGGTGGTATCTTTACAGGAAGTGTTACGTAATGACGTGGTGTTATCTCCTCAGTAATAAAGATACAAGTGCTAACTTCAGCGCTTGTTTTAGACATTCTGATGTGTGTTTAGTTACAGCGCTTGTTTTAGACATTCTGATGTGTATCTAGTTACAGCGCTTGTTACGCAACAATCTATTAACATGTTAACATCAACAGTATTAAATGAATAGGCAAAGATAAACGTGATATCCAGTTACTCTCAAAATAACTGTTATCAGCCTATTAGAAAACAATTATTCTAAGCTTGTGTTAGATAAATACTCATTTTTCTTGGATGACGCAAAACGCTGGATAAAAAAACCGATAATCAATTCGAAATCGTTTTATTTTCCATCCATAGTTACTGAATGCATTATTTGTATTGGTACGCTACGACGATGTCAGAGATGTGTAGACGATGTTGTTTGTTTTATTTCTATATTGACTGAAATTGCAGAATGATTGTTAACCGTGCTGTTTATATTAAGAGAGAAAAACTGTTTGATCTCTGAGAATAATATTGGAAATATATGGAATACAGAATCCATATTAAAATAAATTAGTAATCAACCAATATTGCTATTGTGATTAAGTTATAAAGTCATCATCAACATTTAAAAAAAAATAGTCATGATAGCTTACTATTTTTCCAATGAATGCAATTTTGGCAAATCAATTCACTTTGAATTCCAATGTTTAATGTCAAACCAGAGGTTGGTCAAGTCTATGATTTTCTTTATTTTCTTTATCCGTGTAAGGGAAAATAAAAACTCCAAAAAATTGATCCTTGTACATTTTCTGTTACACTATAGATATTCATCATTGTGAAGAAAGATTAACCGTTGGTATACTATTATCTTATGTGTGTTAAGTTCATCTTTCGAACTGATTCTGGCTCGAGCGACTGCCATGCCTAGATTTTCTGTTACAATATAGATATTCATCATTGTGACAGTACCATTGTATTAAACCGTTGCTATACTATTATCTTAAAACATAATTTTAGCATCCTCATCCTTTCATCTTGTGAGTGTTAATATAAGTTCATCTTTCATATTAATTTGCCTCTAGCGATTGGTATGCCCTCATTTTGCCTCAGGCATGCCCTAGAAGTGATTCTGGCTCGAGCGATTGAAATGCCCTAATTTTGTCTCGATCAATTGACAAAGCCTTCAATTCATCTCGAACTATTGCCAATGTCTTCATTTTGTATCGAGCGACTGTCAGACTTCTCATTTGTCTCGATCAATTAACAACGTCCTCATTTTGTCTCAAGCGATTGACAATGCTTATATTTTGTCTCCAGCGTTTTAAATACTTTCATTTTGTCTCCAGCGATCAAATGACACGCCTTCATCTTGTCTCCAGCAATTAACATGCCCTCATTTTTGTCTCGAGCCATTGACATGCCTTCGTTTTGTCCCGAGCGATTGACAATGCCCTTATTTTGTCTCCAGCGATTGCCATACTTTCAATTTGTCTCGATCATGATCAGTTGACAATGCCCTCATTTTCTCTCAAGCAATTGACAAGCTTTTATTTTGTCTCGAGTGATTGACACGCTTTTATTTTGTCTCGAGTGATTGACACGCTTTTATTTTGTCTCGAGTGATTGACACGCTTTTATTTTGTCTCGAGTGATTGACACGCTTTCATTTTGTCTGGAGTCAATTCAATAACTAATGTCTCATCTTTTTCTGAAGTCACTATCATCTCTTGTTTGGATTCAGGGTTAAATCACAGGAACTTGAATTTCTATCAGAATGGTCTATTTAAGCTCAGAGAACTGATAAAACCCAGTATATACCCAGGGGGGTATATACTGGGTTTAATCAGTTCTCTGAGCTTGAATAGACCATTCTGATAAAAATTCAAGTTCCTGTGGTTATTGCAGAAGTTGATTTTGTTAAAAGGGAGGCAACCGTGACAATGAAAACTGACTTTGAGTCGGGTTTTTTAGAATTGTCACTATTTTTAATTGATATTAATTTTGCATGCGTTATTGAACTAAACTGTATCAAAGTCTATAGAAACTGTCAAAGTCCGAGAATACACTACAGTGGTATGGACTGTACCTTGAAGAAGAAGAACTGTTTCCGGCTGATATTTAGAGTTTTCGTTTTATAGTTGATAAAATTAAAATGTTTCAGTGGAGTTACAGGCAAAGGTTATATTTTTTTATTGGAAGAAGTTCTTATAACAAAACGTGTGGGCACTGAACCTTTTTCAGAGTAAACATTGTTTGACGAAATTATCACAATAAACCATGTTCGCGAAAGTACTGGTTATCTGTATTTCATGATTGGGACTATCTTTAAGTACCCAGGTAGACAAAACTATGTTACTGCAATGAAACCAATAAGCAAATAAATGGCACGTATTTTTATGTTGTTATCCGACAAATTTGAGAAACACAGAAGAGTGCAAGTTTTTTTCAGTTATAATTGACGAAGTGAAAAGTTACTCTGCACACGTACGTTTTGCTTCTTAAGGGGTAATTTGTCCATTTCCAATTTTACACTCTGGCGAGTCTGTAAAAACTTTTTAAAATTTGCAATTCAAGTTTGAGTCGAAGACATTGCAATGCAACAAGTTCGATTCTATTCACTAGTGGTTAAAACAGCAAGAGTCAATTCCTTGCAAGAGTTCACAGGACTTTAAATGAATAGGTTTTTGACAAGTAGACCAAACTGTTCAGTCTTGAAAAACGGTTAATTCATATTAAGTTATTATGTATAATAAGTTTATAAAGTTATCTTTCAGTAACAATTGTCGTGGTGAAGAGTCCCTCTACACAAAGACGTCTACAGAAGGGCACACAAACGTTATGCTATATGTGGGTGATTTCGTTTTGCAGTTTTGTGAAATAACCGTTTGTAATGGTTAGAATTTTCAGTTGAAATTTAAAAAAATAATATAACATAACAAGATGTTCATATCATGTTCCTTTATTAGTCCCTGTGTTACATTTGTACTTGTTACAAATTGCGTAAAAATAAATTACACTCAATAATTTACAGGAGATCGATTTCTTTTTACAGAACCAAGACGTGTCCATATGGCTTTTTTTAACATTTATATACGTACGGTATGTATATTGAAATTAACTATAATGAATCAATTTAAATTCACATGATCAATTCAGATCTATGTAAAGAAACACTTATTTTTCACTCCTGTGTAAAGCTTTTCTAAATCGACCTGTATACTGCATTTTTCTTCTTTTTATTAGGAAAACTGAATTCGACATTGAAAAAATGCAATTCAAAAGGAATACACACCATAACAGAATCGTTTTCTATATAAAAAGGAATGTCAAAGTACATGTATATATATAGCACAAGTGGTTATATTAAAATGGAAAAATATTACACCACAACACTTAAATTTATATAATATGAATTAATAAAAAAAATAACGTAAACAATATGAATGTCAATGACTTGACCAGAACGATTAAGAAATCTGATTCAAAGTTCATATATAGGTCATCAGCTACAAGCGAACTACCAAACACCAAACACTGTATCACAAGATTTTCAAATAAATATATTTATCAAATAACTACACAATTATTAGTGTTGTCATACCTGTTCCATAAATCGTGTTATGAACACACATTTATAATTAGTAGCATCTAGCAGTGTTGTGATTGGCTTGGCTGTAGGTGCCCATTGTTTCAATTGTTACGACACCACTAGTATAGAATAACTTCATGGCATCACCGACTTCTAACCGACCATGACGTCACAAAAGAATAGAGTTTGGAGTCAAAATGTCGATGTTTAGACTTCAAACTAACCTGAGAAAATCATGTTTAACAAATATTTGCAACATATCTTTGTTATGTGAAACAGGATGTTCCATTCGTTTGCATTTGAACAAGGATTTTTCTTATATAAGACAACAAATCTTCAATCTCTTTTAGAAACAGTAAATATCTCTGCAGATTATCTCTGCAAATCTTAACTTCCTCAAAACTTTTAGTCTGTTTGAACATATATGACTAACCATGCCATAGCCATGCATACTTTTCAAGATGACGTTTTTCTTTTTATAAAATTGTGTGTGTTTGATATCATTTCCTTTACTCGGCCGTTTACTGGCCCTTACTGCCTTCTTCTGTGTTGATAACCTTTTAAGAATGTAAAAATAACAGTCAGATTTAATTGTCAAAACATGTATCATTTTTACAATCGAAAAGTCTTAAATAGTCTTTCATAAATCAAATTTGATATTGAAATTGATGTAAAATCCTTTACATATAGCGAGTGTTAAGGCATGTTTTAACAGCTGCTACCTTTAATATTGTTTCACCATGGATTTTGAAAGCAATCGAATTACACATTTATTAAATAAACTTCAGTAGCACAGAGATGACTCTTGAGATTCTTATTGTATTACAAGAAAAGGCAAGAACAATAAATAAACTGGAATTTGTTATATGGGCCATAATAATTGGTAAAACAATTACCTACCTAGATATATACATGTAGGATAATATGTGAATCTACAAGAACGTCTGTTTAGTTCGGTCATCCTCAAAAGAAACACATGGAGTACTGACAAATGTAATTGTAAAACATTGTTATCAGTTAATTACTAATTATACCAAAATATAATAGTTTTTTGTCACAGTTTTTCCTTAAAAAATAACAATGTTTTGGTAGAAAATATCGCCTTAATTAAACATGTTCTAACACATGTTTTAACTATTACCTTGTATTGTCTTACAATGACATAAAAAGATCATCAATGACAAAGGTTGAATAAAGGTTTTTGCGTTCAACATATGATAACATATACATGCACGACGTACAATAACGTTCATTCATATACAGTACAGTAGGTTATCAACATATGTTTTCTAGGTACAAAATATGTACTATGGTACAATTGATCTTTTTATCTACAGAATCAATCATATACAGTGACTTTTGTAGAATTTTTAGGCTAATCCAGAGCATTCTTTCTCTCAAAATGTTGATGAATACTATGACTAAGAGATACAGTGGGTCTTTCAACAGGTGGGGAATCCCACAGAAAAAGTACGAGTCGGGGGCCTAAATTCATGAAACCTTTCTCATAACCAAGCATAAATTCTATGCTCAAACAAACGTTATTTTAACTTGCAGGAAATCATGCAAAACAGTCAGAAAGTCAAGTGTTGGCATAGAAAATGCTATTTGCCTTGAAGTCTTTCAAAACTCCTCCAAATCATCGAAAAAAATTGAAATTTCAATCATTTATCACTTAAACAAGAGATGCGTCTTGATCACCAAATCTGCGTTTCAGCATGAGATCGTTTTGATGAAAATGAGGCCTAGGACATAAATGATTGAGTCCAAAAATTGATTGACATACATTACGTTTAAAGAATTCCTTTTAAGTGATGAAACATTCATCTTAACATTATAAAAGCTTCATTTGATGCTCATGCATACATGTACGTATTGAAAACATTTTTTTTTTAAATTTGGTAAGATTTCTAAATTTACAGATCATTTTGTTTATGTTCCTGTCGGATTGTGTGTGTTCTAGTGATAGTTTCGATGTTTCCGAAGGTCCTGTTGCTGTGGAGATTGTCGACAATGTGGTATATTTTTTTTTTGTATTGAACAAGTACACATGATTTTGCGTATCAAAACAAATTCTAGGAGTCAGATCTATGATTAAACAAATGCAATATACACACCAACAAGCTTCCTATAAAAGAATCCAGCAAAAAAAAACAACGACAGATCTCTCAACTATGGCAACTAGGGCACGCAATACATGTTAAGGACCAATCTTCAGCTGCAGGAAAATGATTTTAAAAATCTCATCCTTTTAGCCAGCTCTGAATTCTTGAATTGCAGAACATGAATAATTAAACTTGTTACTAAGTAGGCTGAGCATCTATAACAAAAACATTAATTGGTCTCATGAGGTATTATTTTATGAAAGATTCATTTTTTTAATATTTAAAAGGGTAAAAAAGGTGAAATTGTTAGGAATGGTTAAGATGTTTTAATTTGCTTGATATCTATCTATCTATTTTATTCATTGCTTACCTTAATTAATTATTCGCTGAAAGTTTTACCATGAAACTGAATACTAAGTGAAAATACATGTTATCTTTAATATCATAGAACAATAAGGGGATTGAACAGGGTCCTGCGGCATTTAAGTAAGCCATGCAAACTTAAACAGTAATGTTATTATGCCTCATACAAGTTCGACAGTGAAAGCAGTATCAATATACAAAATTGTGAGCAAATATTGAAATAAGATAACAATTATCTTAAAATCAACGGTTTCTGATAAACAAAAAAATATGTACAACATACTCTCTCGTGAAACGCTGAGCAAATAGTAATGGAATGTGCAAACATACTGATTTGTCATCATTTTATCAGTAGAATTTACAAATCATAACATATAAAGTTTAAGTAATGACTAAAAACTACATTGCTATCTTTATCAAGGCACACTTGCTATCTGTTTATAGCTATCACAATATATAAGCAGTGTTGTTATCATTGGGACTTTCAAAATCAGAGGAATTTCATCATTTAGGCAACTGTCTATAAAATATACTTTATATGTACAATATGTACACATAACATTTTTATTATGCTCTTTCTTCCAAATAGATATTAATCTCATTTTAAAACATTAATGAAACAATTCTATGATATCATTTTTAGTTAATTTTTTTTAACTTTTTCAGCAGACCAAAAATGAGATTTTGAAAAATATATATATATGAAAATAATATCAACATAACTTCCAACACCAAAATAATGGCATTAAATTCCTAAGAAGTTTTTTTCTAAATTTACAGGCATTACGAGTAATTGTAACAATATAGCTGACCTAAATAAATTGATGATGGTCGGTCAAAAATTTGAAAAGATATTTTTTGAAAATATGACTTAACATTTATTTATCAACACAACAAATTGGCAGTATTTGCCAACACAAAGCTTTGACTGGTTTAGACTTTACAGTATAAAATCTTTAAAGTGAACCAAAAGGGATATAAGAAGTAAATTTTCTTCACGCAAAATTAATGAGAGTTTGATGTCTGCATGACTGCAACATGGTTTTCTTCATGAACTCAGTTGTGAAACAGACATAAAACAACTCATTCAAGTAGCAGTGTACAGTAGATATTGCCTAATCCTTGAGAGTAAAGGGCATGTCTCAGATAAACATGAAAAGTGGATGTATCTTGCACAACACTCCTACATATATACATATATATATAAACTACATTATAAATACATTTTTTTTTTTTAAATATGATTTTTTTTTTCAGGAAAAGTTTTCCTCAGATTTGGGAACCATGGTTATCACATCAAAAAATGACAAAAATGACAAAACAATGATTTTTAACTCAAAATTTAATCCCTGCAGATAGAATTTTTTTCTTAAAACCGATCTTATATTAAATATCACCTACTCCATAACAGAAATACTCACATTTTTTTTAGCATAGGCCATTCTGGTGCATTTTTCACAATATTTACACATGTGCTGCATATAAAAAATACTTCAATAGACTTTATGAAAAGCTAGCTTTTGATGTGTAGACACAGATTTGTAAATGGCCAAAACTATAGTCTGAAACCAAATGCAATTCTTTTTTCTTGAAAAATTATGAAGCACTCATAGTGCACTTCATCATGCTTATGCCAATTATAGTGTTGAATTATTTTTAATTTTGATACATGTAATATTACAGGGTTTAATCATTGTACAAAAATATCACCCATGGCCATTATACGCTACTGTACACGGCTACCTCCCTTCAATCTAATAAACTTGATATGCCAGGTTATCACACTGACGTTGTAAAAATGGTGACAGGGATTTCTCTTGAAACACGAAGGGATTTACAAATTGAAAAACAAAACTTAAGCCTTGTGTAGTTCACTCAAACCTCAATCTGCTTAATACACTCACATTCAAACTCTTTGTAGACTGAGTTACAGATCACATCACCAGTTACTGGTTCTTGAGATTCTTCATCTTGATGACCCAGCCGTCGGTGGAGGGCATATCGACTGGGTTAAGGATCGGCAAGAGGATGTCCATGGTACCCATGGCTCCCTGAATGTACTTGAGGAACTTTCCAGGGTAGCCGAGCAGCTCAACAGTCGTGGAGGGGGTGGGGATGGGGGCCTGTAGACTCAAAGTATTGTTTCCGGGCCATTCCAGTACAATGGCATACACTGCTGTAGTGGCTATCAACTTCTGGGATGTGTACCTATTTATAGAAAAAGTTTGGGTTATTAACCTCTCAGACATATACAAGGAAAAAGATGACAATTGTGATTGCTAACATCAAAGACACGTTCCTGTGAAGAAATGACAGTCATGGTTATTAATGGTTTGGGGAATATTTTGTATTTTGGAAATTAACACAAATTTTGAATTGTGAATTAACATAAAACAGAAATTAAAACAGAAATAAATCTGAAATTTATGTTTTGACTCGTTTTAATGAGGCCAAAAATATGTATATGTTTTTAACATGCCTAAAAAACATAGGGTAGGTTGGTAGGCAAATACTTCTGTTTTTATTTTTATTTTCATGGATCAATATTACTGTATGCTTTATTTCTAATTATACGATGCATTTCCACACATAACAATAGCTATTATTTTGTTAAGAATAGGGTCAGACTCCAAGAACAGTAAGAAAGTACATTTTAATTGTTTACGTACACAAATACAGTGTCAGTATACCATTTTACTGAACATTTATATTGAAATCATGAAGTACATTGCCACCTTATGATTCCACCACCTGTAAAAATTCTTTTCCTGGATACATATAGTATTTAGGTATTAAAAACAAATGCTTACCAGACACTCTTTGTAGCATTGTCTTGCTGTGTGTGCCAAGGTTTAGAGTAATAAATGGCCTCTCCGTTCACAGCCATCCATTTTCCAAATTGCCTCAGTCTCTCCTCAAATATGGGGATGATACGGCCGTCAGAGGAGGGACCAACATTCATCAGTAGGTTACCTCCGCAGCTATATAAATTTAAAAATATTTTAAAAGTTTGATTGAGGAACCCGTACCACTGCCAACAAATGTGCAAAAAAGTATTTGCAACTGTTTTTCCAACATGATTATGGCTTTAATATGTCATTTCTGAAAAGAAAATCCTACCTTGCAGGACTTTTTTGAAATAATACAAATGAAATTCAGTGGGGCTTTAACCTGTCCTGCAGATTCTTATACAATGACTCTAACTGGTTGAGCTACCTGGACAATGGAAATATCCTAGCCAACAGCCCTAGTTATACCCAAACAGAAGTTAAAGGGAGGTTACTGTTTATAGGAAAAAAACACTTTGCAGTGGGACATGGATCCCCCGGATCTGTAAAACAAATCATGCATAGTCTGGTTGAAAAGATTTATTTATAAATCAAATAGGTGGATTTTTTGACAAAACAAATCACTTTATCAAAATTTCAATCATTTTTGTTCATTTTTCCTTGACTTAATACAATGTAAAATTCACAAGCTAAATCATCTTGACTAACCCTTGCTGCAATTCACAATATTTCATCTCCTATATAGATTATCTCCCTTGTTCTCCCTACCAGACTGTCCTTATGATATCCCTTCTCTTTCAAACCAGATTGTCTTAGTTTCTCTCTAGCTGATATTCTTTTTGTTGCCCTCTTCCTTAAAAATTTGATTGTTCCTTCCCCCTTCCATTGTGTCTTGGTAATCTTCTTTTTCCTCTGTACAAAATTGCCCTGGTTATTTCCCTTTTCTCTATATGTGATTTCCCTATTTACCTCCCTATTGTTTCCCTTCCGACACTATCTGATTGTTTTGATTATCATTTTTTTTCTTTCCAGGTCTCCTCCATTTTCCTATATGAGTTTCTTTCTTTTTCACTTTACCTGATTACCCTTCCTTCCTTCCTCCCTAGCCGATAACCCTGTTTATTTACCTTTTCTTCCTTACCTGATCACTCCCTTTTCCTTCCTACATAATTACCCTGGTTATCTCCCTTTTCTGACTTCATGATTGCCCTGGCTATTTCCTTTGATTTTTTATTTCCTTCCTGATTATTTAAGTTATCTCCCTGTTCCTCCCTACTCTATTCCACTGGTTGTCTCCCTTTTATTCTCCATCTGATTGTCCTGCTTATGTCCCTTTTCCTCTCTGCATTAATACCCTTAGTATCTCCCTTTTCCTCTCTACGTTAATACCCTTATTAACTCCCTTTTCCTCTCTGCATTAATACCCTTATTATCTCCCTTTTCCTCTCTACATTTATACCCTTAATATCTCCCTTTCCCTTTCTACATTAATACCCTTATTATCTCCCTTTTCCTCTCTACATCAATACCCTTATTATCTCCCATTTCCTCTCTACATTAATACCCTTAATATCTCCCTTTCCCTTTCTACATTAATACCCTTGTTTTCTCCCTTTCCCTTTCTATGTTAATACCCTTGTTATCTCCCTTTTCTTCCCTACCTGATTGTCCTGGCCATGACAGTAAGGAGTTCATTGAGGGATAGAACATCCTCGAAGTTGATGTTGCGTCGATGCGTCCAGCTGTGGCGGTCAACAGTCATAGCACTCTCCCACTTATGAGGCTGAAGAACCCCTACAAATAACCAAATTATTATAAACAACAAGTTCATGCTTATAAATTGTGAACGATGCAGGGGCCCTGATAAAAGAAAATAGGGAAGGACCATTTTAGAACTAACCTCCAATAAGTCCACAAGTATAGTGAAGTTAATTATCTTGTGTGAAAATAATTCCCAGAAAAAGCACCACTATTGAAAGTTACGCATTAGTTATATACATATAAAACAAAGGTGCAGAATGTTACTATTTGAAGTAGCGCAGTATAAAAGGGTTTCTTTTGTTTATTTGGGACAGGGCCTTTTTGTCTCATTGTGGGAAGAAGATATACCAATTGGAAAGGCAATTTTCACGAGTAAACTGCAAATTTTGGGAATTAGGCATAAATATGAAATAGTTTTAATTGCCATGAATTGGGCATGGGGCCCATTTTTTTATCAGCCCCAAAAAGTCCCCAGAAAAATACAAATGAACCTTTGATATATAGGGAAAGAATCTTTGACTTCAGTCTTTAGGCTGAATTCTGATGATAACACTGTGTGGTTACCTGGGTTGTATTTGTCAGAACAGTCCCAGAATCCTCCATGGTGACATATTGTGTCATTGCCCCAACGGTCGTTAACCACCACGTAATCCTTTACTGGGCTACAAAACAAAGGCACTGTGTTCGAATGATCAATGTTTTTTCTGCCTAAATTTTACTGCTGCTTGTTCAAACATGAATTGGTTAAAATATAGCGATAGTTTCATTGAAAAGAGGAAGATTTTCCTCATTTTTTTTCATTTTGGGAAAATAAAGCACTTTTGTGCTAGGGGAAACTGTATTCGGCTGTAGAACAAGATTAATAAATCACTGACGACAATTGCAACATATACTGCATTCCATCACTACAGATGTGTACGTTATGTACACAAAAGTCTGTTTCTGTAACATGATCATATCATGTAAAGATTAGATCGTTTGTAAAACCCTTCAGTGATAGATCTACTTATAAATCCCTAGTCCTATACTCATAGAATTTTTAATGCAATTCACATGGAATTTCTGAAAATACTTTAATTCAACATTTAGCAATACAGTGAAAAAGGACCCATGAAAATAAATTGCAGATTGATCAATGTGCTTTAGAGGACTATATTTTCTTTTGGAAAGACACCAAGTTGAATATTTCTATCCAAAACCATTAGATAAATTGATATATTAATAATTGTCAATATTTGAATTTAAAAACAGGAGAAATTGAAGAAATTGGTACTGTTACATACAAGTAGTTTGATTTTAAGATTCTTTCTTAAGAAAAAACTGTTTAGCAGCTGGTCACAAAATATATTCATGACTCCAACATGAACATTTCAAATATTTTCCAATACAAATAAGAAAACAATCAAATCTGAATCCAACTTATTTGTTTGTTACGATTTGGAAGTTTTCAAGATATTGTCTAAAGTTTCATTACATGTCAGACTTCACCAGGTCGCTATTACTTATGCCATTAATTATCCAGCATCCCTTTGGATATCCAGTCTCAAAGCAAGGTCCAACACCTATATGTAAACACCCTGAAGAACCATCGCTAGATTATTGCTTTTACTCACTACATTTCGAAGAGGCTACCTGCGTTAAGAAATCAATTTTAAAATGTTCCCCATTGTAGTGGTTTTATTGTGAACTGAACCTGTATAAAGAGGCCACCTTTATGTTGAGTAAAATTTTGGACTTGTAAAACAGGAGAAAGAGAAATGCACCGCTAAACTGGAGTTCGAACCCGGGACCCTCAAAACTCAAGACAGTTGCTCTAACCAATTGAGCTACCTGGTTGCCAGTGATCGACCCAGTCCAGTTCCTTGACATAACTCCCTCTATGAACAAAGTCTTTGACCCCGAAGACACACGAGACCATATACCACCTTCTGTGGGTATATTTCGTTGGGCACCAAGTATATAACAGCTAGGAGAAAGATAAATGCGACGGCGAGAACGGGTTTTGAACCAGGGACTCTCCGAACTGTAGACGGACGCTCTAACCAATTGAGCTACCTGGTCACCGGCGATCGACCCAATCCAGTTCCGCAACAGGACTATCTGAGGGTGGTGTCTGCATACAGAGTGGACTGTACAAGTAATAATCTGGGTGTGAAATGTCCCTTAATGTGCAATGCATCATCATTTAACCAAACAAGACATGTAAAAATTCTACAAATCAATATGCCATTCAGTGTCTTCCTAATAAGAGAATTAACCCACCTGTCATTGTAGAGCCAGGCAAGGAAGTCCAAGGTGCCCCAGTAAGATTCCGGGCCATCCATTGGTCCGTCCGACCAGATCAGTTCAGGCTGGTAAGTGTTGACCAGCTCATATAACTCTGGCATTGTCTTGGTCTAAAAATGTAATTTCAAAATATTATTGTTTGTAGTTATTTAGAACAAACTTGTGAATTTGTAGCAAAAATCTTGTATAATATCAAGAACAAAATACTTCTTTGGTGATTTACCAATTACCAGCATATTTTTAAATTTATATATTTTGCATTTTGTAAATTCTTAAAGCCTGCTTCACATATTGTCGGATGACTACCAACATTGCTTTGACATTGTTGATATTTAAGTACACGTACACTCAAGCTGTAAGGGAGTTAACTACGTGAGAATAAACATCTCCATTTTTCATCTTTCAACCATGAATGCCAACACAGATATATGTGCTTTCACATCTAAGTTTCCTTTCACACTAAAATAAGTTTGGTTTATCAGATGTCGTGCGATATTTTGACAGTCAGGAAGTGTGAAAGCTATGTATGCAACACGGTACAATAGTTGCCTTTCCTGTCAGTTACATCATTAGTTTCTCCTTCCCCTGTTTTTGTCAGGCCTCCATTCTTCTGGTTTTTGTTTGATAAATGCATGGCTCATATATAACATTAACAACACTACTCTCCCATTTTCTGATTATTTGCAACATAATATAACAATTGCAGTTTTAGTTCAGTCAAAATTGAATTAAATATTTGAAAGAGTTTTAATTAGCATATTAGAAACATGTTATTTATATAGTTTAGAACGGAATCTTGACCGAATGAGACTTGATGGGTTGGTCTATAATACTACCGTGTAATTCTAAAAATCTGACCTTTTTTTTCTTTATTTATATCTAGTTAGAACAGAAAGAACCTTGCACCTGACATATGCTTATAATTTCCCAGCATATTCTCGTCATTACACCAGCTATCTATGGTACAACAATAAGACACCCTAAAATTTGATCGCTTGTAACTATATCAAGTCCTCCGTCGACAGGAAATACATGTACCTATGGCAAACAAGAACGTAGACTGGCTACCAGCCCCTAAGTTCTTATGAAGAATTTTCTGGCTGCATTTTACTACTAGCTTATCCCCCCTAGTTTGAGAACTTATAATTAGGTCTAGAAACAGACATTCAAGTGATCAAAATTATGAGTTTATTTTTTTCTTAATTTTCTAAATGATTCGATATTCTCGAGACGGTGGCCAGTCTAACAAGAATAGAGAGTGTTGTGACTTGCATGAACAAAATTAGAGAATAAGTTGATTTTAAAAGTAACTCAGAAGTCACCCATTATATGCTATCTACACTACTATATGCATATGAAGTAGACTGCTATGCAGGTTTGATCACCGAAGTCCTTGTGCACATGGAATATTCAGAGAAAGTGTTTTTCTCCTGCCACATAACTTCTACAACCCAGGTGGAGTATGAATTGGTCTGGAGTGGATGTTGCGATATCTGTGCTGTTGCATTCAAGTGAGGTGGCACTATAAATGATACCGTTGGAAGCACGGTCCCACTACAAACACAACACAACACATCTCTAGCACACACGAAGGCATTACACACATAGGGAGATATTAGCCAGGTGGCATAGGACTAGTAGTAAGCGCCTGATAAGGCAGCTTCTGCAATTTCCTCCAATTGTATTGATTAATGGATATGCTAATTGTATTGGTTGTAAAATTGTATATCTTTGTACTGTAAAGTGCTTTGGAGTGGCTTATAATAGCTAAATAGGGCACTATATCAAATGTTGTCTACTTTTATTGTAATTTGTATTAGGTTGTACCGTTGGGAAGTTGCGGGTGGTATAGTTATTGGCTTTGTCCTCCAGGTACAAAGGATTGAAGAACTCGAACAGCGAGTGGTATACACCAAAATGCATGCCCTTCGCTCTGACAGCTGTAAGGAGATCACCTGGAATTGCAAGGAAAACAAATTATCACTTTAATTAAATCAAGATCTAACTCATTCACCCATGAAGACATATTTGAACTCTTCCAATTCAAAGGTTGGAATAGTTCATTATGAAATTTCAGGGGTGAATGAGTTAACAGCTGATTTCCATCATATATATATATGACAAAAAGCGGAGATGAAAAAAAAAAAAAAAAAAATTTGCTTTAAAACATTTTCATCAACTTGATTATAAGTTGTTGCAACATAATTGTTCACATCGAGATCATTAACAAGTAAACAAGGAGCTGACATTATCCTTTCACAAGTAACCCCTTGCAGTGTTTCCGACCATTAAACTCTTTTCACAGCATGATCAAGTAATCATAAATTCTTAATGTACTACCACGCTTCTTTTGATTCTACTTTTCCAGTTTGATACCGGTTTTACTTTCATGATTTTTTTCCCAAAAATCTTTTTTCACATTTTTTAAAAAAAATTATCTAATTTTCAAATCTGACCCCAAAAACGTACCTGCGCACTATACCCGCAAATTTACGGTAATTTTATTAAATAAAAATAAAAATCTTTCTTCAAACTGATACTGCTCGAGTTTTTTATTAGTACATAATATGCTACTTTAGTAGATATTTTGCAAAATAACATTTCTAAACTTTCCCTTCTAATAATATAACAAGGCATCACAAGTGATACAAATCCCCTCGCATACACACATTGTGACATATATGTAAGAGGAAATGAAGTTGCTAGAGCGATGACAAAGTTTTTTTCTAAAAATAGTAACAGTGACCTTCACCTTCAATGTAGAAACCCGAAACGAGAAGTTTTTGTTCAAGGCATTGCCATATCAAACACTTATATGAACAGAAGTTTCATGAAATTCCTATGAGGAATGAAGTTGCTTGAGCGATGACTTAGAGTGTAACATACATGTACGTATGGGTTGAATCCTTTATCCACTCTAAGTTTTGTTGCGAGGAGATAATCATACCAAGGAATAGTAGGTGTGTTTTTCGTTTAGCAATATAGCTAACATATAACATGCATGGAAAAGCTGCATGACAATAAGATATCATTTATAAAGGAATAATAGGTTTCAAAAACTTAGGAAAATGAAGATGTCCCTGTAATTATAATCACAAATGGGGTTGGAGAGACAATGTCCTTCTAGCTATAGGTTGATGATCGATGTGCGAAATTCAAGATGAGATCAACTGTAGATACACATTGGCTATATAGGCATACCAATTTCAAGGTCTCCAATAGCTTCTTTTAATCATTTTGTTGAGTTCAGCTGTGTTATCCCAAAAATGTTTTACTTGTGTTTCTGCTATCATCATCAGAAAAAAAATGGGTAGGTAGGTATTTTTATTTTGGAAAATATTTTTACAATGCTTATAAAAGAGCAGGAGCCCTATAACTTTAACAGTACATATCACTAAATGCAAATAAAAACCTTAGGGTAGGCACAAAAATTTAGGGTAGGTAGCTATAGGGTTAGCAGAAACACAATAATGTTTTTTCATTTGGCCTTATACTGATGTTTTCCAGTAATGAATTCTCAATTCAGAAAGATTCCAGACTTACCCAGTAGATCTCGTTTGGGACCCACAGCACCAGCGTTCCAGTTGAAAGAATACTTTGAGGGCCACATTGTAAAGCCTTCATGGTGTTTAGTAACCAGCACAACATATCTGTAAAGTACAAATATTTAAACACATACCATCATAAATATCTGAGTGAGTTTCTCACAGCTAATTCCATCTCCTGTACATTAATAAAATAATAACAGGAGAAAAAGGAATGCAACGGCCAGACCAGGATTCGAACCTGGGACCAATAAAATGTGTTGAAATCAAAAAGAACCCAGGACCCTCCCAACACGACACAGAGATGCTACACCAATTACAATGGAACTACATGTACCTGGTCGCCGACAATCGACCCGGTCAAGTTACACTACATTCCTCTCTCATTTTTCCAAGTCTCTATCCCTTTGTTAACAAATTTTTACAACCAAAGCTCTGGTATCTCCTTGCCAAGTATCCACCCAGTGCTTGAAACAAACATTTGCAAGTTCCCCAATTTTGTAACAGGAGAAAGAGAAATGCAACGGCCAGACTGGAATTCGAACCCAGGTCCCTCGGAGCTCTAAGTGGACGTCTACTGGGTTGATCACATGTGACCAGGCATAGGTATAGCTCAATTGGTAAGAGTGTCTGTCTAGAGATTGGAGGTCCCATGAGGTTCAAATCTCAGTCTAGTTGTGCATTCTCCCTCTCCTGTTTACAATTCTTGCTAGATCTATGTACCAGTAATTAAATGTTAACCTAGCTAGCTAATGTAGGTCTAATGACAAATTGAAAATGTTTTTTGTTTACTGCAGCTGAAAATATCATTTTGAAATTATACTAAATCTAAACTTTTCAATAAAATCTATTTCCGTATATTACACTCTCCCTAAATGTTTAATAGTAGCTATGCCAAATCATTTTTTTGGAAAGATGTGGCTTGTTTCAAAATTAGTATTTGGATTATCTCCCCTTAGCTTGGACATATAACAATAATCGACCATGTATCGGATGAAGTCGTGTGCTCATAATTACCTAGCTCCTGACGCCAGAAAAATGTCAGCCCATTCGTCAGGATCGAAAAATGAAGCATGAAAATCGGCAGCAAAGTCCTGATATGTAAAGCCAGGTCTGTAGTTCTGCTTCATAAATTCTACGTATGCCGGGACCCCGTGATAAAGGTAGTACCAGAACCAAGCGGAACCGAACGCAGGCACTGAATAAACTCCCCAGTGCAGAAATATGCCAATCTTTGCTTCGTCATACCATGCCGGCAGTGGACGAGCATCTAAAGATTCCCAGTTAGGTTGGTATCTCTTGGCAGACGTCAATGCAAACACAAAAACAGCCAAACTAACCAAAACACACAACTTCCCCATCTCTGTTATTATTTTGTCACAAGACCAAACATATAATCTTACTCACATAAACGTTTTTTACGAATGTTTACTAACTTAAGCGTCCTGTTGATGCAGTTATTATATAAATTGTGTTTTAAAGATGCAAGTTCTATAAAGAAATATTAAACTCAATTTCCGAAAATGTATTTAATCGTAGGGGGAACACATGTACAATAAACATTTAAAGATATTTTGAAAGGTTGATGATATTTATGTTTAACGTACATGCATTCTAGACAATCAGGAATGTCTGGAATGATATAGTATCCCTTGAAGTATGTTTCCAACGTTAACGTTAATATTGGCCCATAACAAAATCAAAGGCTCAGTGTGCACGCCTTGTGGATGAGACAAGAAGACAAGTTTATTCATTTGATGTAGGCCTACATCAAAATCATCTAGCGGTCGCGTAATGGTAAAATTGACTGATTTTGAAGTCGGATGTCGCTCCTCAACCTGTTAATACAGACAGGTAAACTAGTGAATACATATACCTGAGACCAATCAAATAGCTAGCCGCGTTCCTTCAATTTTGTTATGACATATCCCAACTAGGGTGTCCTGGATGGTTACTATGGTGACCGATGATTTGCAATAGTGCGGACATAAACGTTTTTAAATAAGCGGTACTTAATGCAAAAAAACACATCAAATAAGATCAACTTTCAACTAGAAAAATGTTAGTACCTCTTTTTTCACCCTCTTTAAGTGGGACGCATTGTTGTAATTTTCATTAATTAGCATCCTCCGATGATGTGACATGAGCATTTACGTGCATAATGGCAATCGGTGAATAGATAATAAAGAATAGGCGCATTTTGTGCTTGTGAAATGAAGGATAATTAACAGTAGTGGGAAAACATGCATGGAGAAAAGAGACACTGTACTCCTTTTATTTTTATTTATTTTTTATTCAAATTAATTATAATTATTAATATATGTAGTGACTTTATTTACTGTCATTGAATATACAAAATCTCACAAATGTTCATGGAATATATTTGAATTATATTTCTCAATGCGACTTTATCAACGTAAGAGTTATTTCCCTTACACCGGATTGGATACTATTTTGACACGGAGCTAATTCTTGTCAAACTTAAATTGTTACATTTTCATATATAGATACACCAGAAAAACCATGCTGTGTTACAGAAATGTTTGATTAACATACACGGTTCGCATATCGTCTCGTCTCAGAGCCATTACCGTTATCAACCTAACTTCCTAAGCACGATATGTCATATTACGTTCCCGTTTGAAACATCAAAATAAAGGTTATACTTCATCACTCATACGGTTTATAAGTATATATATACTTTTTTCCTTTTACCGAGTCGGGTTGGAGTACTGTGCTGCTACTTTTGGATTAGTATTTCAGGGAGGTAGCACTCTAAACTCGGTATCAGATCCGCGCTAAAGATAGGAGGTAAATACACGATACATCGAGTACACTCACATATACAATGTATAACGCACAGATGAAAGTACGTCCTCGAATTAGCTTAGCTGTAAATAAAATGCTTAACCTGATAAATCATGAACTCTTTCTTAATTTTGAAATTGCGATTTCTGCGACGATTTCCAGTCCAATAAGACGCTCAATAACATTGACATAATACACAGGAATCAGCATATAAGGTTTTAGTTTCTTTAAATAGTACTTCGACCAAGGTTCAAAATGTAACAGGAGAGGAAAATTGGACGGCCAGACCGGGGTTCGAACCAGGGACCTTCACCTTCCGAACTCTAGACGGACGCTCAACCAATTGAGTTGTCTGGTCGCCGACGATCGACCAAGTACCTGTATACTTTGTCACTGAGGAAATGATTATTTCTGGAGATTGTTTACATGTTCATGCACTTTTTAACTTGTTAACGTCATGTACTCTGCTTCATTTTGATGTAGTTCATGATTGATTGTGTGCTTCGTCACGTTCGCAGGTTACAAGGTAAATTACTTCCTTCAATGCGCACATCTTCGCGATACCCATAAAAACTTCATCAATCTTTTTTTTTTTAATGCGCCTGACGTCGACGGCAGTGGCACGAGTAAATACAAGAAAATATTGATGTAAAGCTAGCATACAAGTTATTTGATTTAAAAAATGAAAAGATATTTTCTTTTGAACATATAGATGGAATACAGTTGTGGGATCGCACAACGTTACACGATGTGAGGTCGCACCTTCCGATAACGAAGCGGTCGGAACGGAGCAGACTTAGTTTGCTGTAGAGTTGACACTAAATATAGAGACCTCGGTAAGAAGGAACTTGACCCACCTGCATGTGCAAGCTTTATCGGAAAAATTAATATCCTCATCTTTTTTTGTGAAATAACAGTGTTTGGTTCGTTCTCTGACGCCATTAGCCTCGTGTCAAGTCCCTGTCTGAAAGATTTATCTCCTAGTCTTTTTTTCCCGTAAAGGTATAATGTTTGGTTCGTTCTGTGACGCCATTAGCAATGTGTCAAAAAGTTGGGTTGGGTTTAGATTGACTTTTGGTAAAAATGCCACCCCCAATGATTCTATATACACGAGTCATCATTTTGGGTGGCATATTTACCGAAAGTCGATCTAAACCCCTAAAACATGAAAAATTACTCTGAACACCTTAGTTTAGGTCCAAATATAGCTGTAACAAATCATCAGAGCCCTCTGGTCAAGGGTAAACATGGCATGCGTCAGGCTTTCGAAAAAAAATCTGAAGCGGTCTTTTCCATATACCCTCGATTTTGTTGTGGTTTATACAATTGGAACCTATGTCCAGCACGCGCTATATCCGCCCAGCACGCGCCATATATGCGCTTAACTTCCTGTTCAACACTTTTCAGAAAAATCACACCACAAACTGATAGTGTACATATAATAGTATACATATCCATCTGTATTTGCTATTTTGTTCATTGTGAAAATTAAAGGTAGAATGCGTGTTTTATGCACTATTGTAAATAATTTTGATTTTATAGATTAGTATATGATAAAACGGTTACCATAAGACTATTTCCACATTCTACTCCATATCAGCCCTCGACTCATATAAGCGTTCGGGCCTCCACCCCCTCGGGCTGATACGGAGTATAGGATATATAGGGAAATGATACTATGATAACCTCTTGCCTTGCATAGTAGTAAAATATACAAATTCATATTCAATGTGTGATGCTTTTCAAGTAAGTTATCTTTCTATTATGACTCAATATTGATACATATATTTCAGCACAAGTCACGTAAACTCTTCGTTCGTGCTTATGCTAAAGCAAATGGCATGCAGGTTATAAAGTATACATGTATTAACCAATGGTGACTATACAGAGAGTTATTAATTATCATATGTGTGTCACACTGTGTTAATTAGCCGTCGCCATGTGAATGATTCATGAAATAATAGTATTACCCTGTGAAGTAGAAGTTACTTTAGGAACAGGTGCGAATTAAAATGTAATTTTAAAAAAGAAGTACTGTTTGTAAAATGTCACTTTCCATGTGTCTATACGAGCTTTCTTCTATTTTCAGTCTCTATGACCGGATACCGGATATAAATTTACATTTCCTGATGAACACGTGTCATTTATTAAGTTTTATAACCAAATTGCATGCGAGTTTATCCGAGATTAATCAAGTTCTTTATTAACTTTAAGTCTCACGACTTATCAGTGTAAACATATATTAAACAGGATATTTACATATGTACAAAAAGCCACATTGGTCACAGGAGAATGAACAATACACACATACAAACTGTCATATATCTGATTGGCGCTTATTTGCCGCTATCAGATACCTTCCAAGATTACAGAATTCTTTAATATTCTGTGTATTAAGTAATTGAACAAGCTTATATACACCCGTCATCTGATCAAGCCCGAAAAAAACCTCTGGATCCTCCACTGTGAAATACACACGCCACCATGATTGTGCATGAGGCCAAAGGCAACTAATTTCTTTGTCGGATTTACAATTATCCTTATTGTTTGCCAGCTTCACGAGAACTAAATTATTTTATCAATCAGTTTAGGTAAAGAAACGCGTAATACCGCGAATAAAATCTTGCAAATGTGAGTTCTTCTTAATTTTCTATCGAAACTATCTGGCGTAAAATAAGATATCTGCGTTCTATTCGGCCTACGTTTACATTTTACAAACATAAAAAAACTGAAGATCAACAATTGTCTAGCATTCCGAAACTCTAACGATTTATTTTTTCACGGGCGATGCATATCCTGCCATGGGAGAATCTTCAAGTATACAATCATAATGGGTTTGTCCTCCCAATGAGAGAAGCGAAGATGGACACATGGTACTGTGACGATGGAGTAGTTTAAGTGTTATATTAAATCAACATATTTCTAATTACACAAAATGAGGCTAAATTGAACAGCAACGGAGTGTACTTTACCGACAAGACTTCGAAAACAACCGCTCTATACATTTCGCAACCTCCCCGGTGTAATGTTTTTTTTCAAACGCGCATGACATTGTACACGGAGAGTATAACCTCGATATTATGCCCTTCGTATGATTAAATTTGCCACTTCGGTTACCTTCAACATATTTAAGTGTCCCTTTTTCTTGTTTTCTTAAAAAAATCCTTTATACATTTCCATCAATTTTTATCGCCAAAACCCTTAATTACGCCAAAATTTCATTAGAAAAATGGTGGCAATAAAATGAATTTTTACTGCATTTGGATCATAAAGATTTTTTTGAAAGAAAACATTATACTGTAAAAGGACTTCCATACGAACAGACGGTCTTTTTTCTTCTGTTTTTCTTTTTTGAGACGGATTTGTTTTTCAAAATCCTGTTGAAAGGAGTCCTTTATTAAACCCTTAATTGGTAATTTTGTCTCAATTATATACCTCTTTTAAAAGTGCATATTAGACATCAAATCCCTTAAGGATTTGCGTATGCCGATTTTTTTTTCTAGCAAAATCAAGCAATGGAATAATAATATTCTATTAATCGGAAGAAGAAATGTTTCTCCACACAAATTGAAATTTTGATTGTAGATGTGGAACTCGACATGGAAGGCCATTTAAATCTGTAGCTGTTTCTCTTTGACGTTATGCATTCTAATCTCTAATTGTGAGGGGATTTCAGTGTGAACGTTACCTGTCACGGCGATAGTGTAAAATTAACACGGCTTTAACCATTTAAATCACCACCGTAATAAGTTTTATAAATACGACCAGAAACTGGTTTGTGATTTAAGCTGATTCTGTCATTATTCAATGTGTTCACCTTTGCCGTTTTCTATACATGCACAATTAAATTTTGTTTTGCTGTTCAACCGGTTTTTTCATAAAATCTGTTATTATAATGCAGGCCAAATGTACAAGGCCTGATATTAATGATGCTGAAGTTATCAAACAAAGCATTATGACGTGTTTATGCGTGTCACGAAACACTTTTTAACATAACTTTTTAATGGTTGTGTGTAATTGTCCCAAGCGTATGTGTCATTTCGCGTGTTAACTCAAATACACCTGTAAACGCGCAGATATTGATGTCATTTCGGAAGCGCTATCAACAATTTAGTGTATTCCTTGACTTGACGATAGGTAAAACTGGCTATTATTGGTGGGCTCGTCAGTTTCCTTCCAAACTCGTTTGTAAGTTGTGTTTGTATTGGTCTATATATATACACCACTCTCTTGCATACCTGGAGAGAGGTAGATCCACAAAGCGCCAGGTAAACGATTACTACGCCATTGTGCGTGCTCGGTCATGCGACACGCCTAAGGGTCACAGAACACAGTCGACTGGAAACAGGTACGAACGGTGACAATCTGCCTCGTCTCCACACTTTTCGTTTCGGACCAAGCCCCCCTGCCATTACCTCGCGTTTGTCGGATTGAGAAACACAACCATCGTCCAGCCATGGGGGACAGAATGTGTGCCAAAGTCATGATGGCTTTAGCTACCATCATGCTTCCGATTGTGATTGTGTTCATGGCAGTGTCGTTTGCTACAGACTATTGGCTTGTATACACGGTAGACAGGACGATCCTCAGGGCTTCCGACAACGCCTTATATACTAGTTCTGCCACAAATTTGGCTGATGGCAAATATTCCCACACCAGGAGGAATGGTCTTTTCAGAACCTGTTACCCTGGTAACGACACACAGTGTAAGTAGACGCTACTTTTCATATTTATATTTTCATGAAACCATTTGATGAAAGGTATTACCTCTGCCCCACCCAGAAACAGTCAAAATGGCGACCAGGTGGGCCGGCTTATATTATTACACGTACTTTACATACAAATAGTTGATGAAGATTTAGTTCAGATGTAAATTATGTAAATAACAAAATGTCCGTCGTTAGAAACATTGGCTTGTATTCTTGAAACTTGTAAACTGGATTGGGTTGACAGATGTTTACATGTTGAATGTGAACATCCTGATCAATCGATTCACTTCCTGTTCAAGGAAAATAATATGAACAATTTTCACATGAATTAAAACCGGTCAGTGATAAAACATGATGTGGTGTGTTTCCCGGGGGTGGGGACTAGTTATATGTACAGGTGTTGATCATGTCCTTTCGTTGTTGAGGCAGCCAGGCGTAGCTCGCGACATAAAGCTGTCATTAACGCTCATTGCCGTAATGTCTGACATTCTAGAGTGAGGCGACATCTGTTTGTACTAATTGTCAATGTTAATACATTATAAGAGACAATGGCCCATGAACATTGAGTTAACAGCTTATATACCGATGCAGTAGTACTGTAATATTGCAATCGATTGTTGGGATCCTGTTCACCATTTTTATCCTATCCATTGGTTGTTAACCCTTGTGGCCCCTTTTGGTACCTTCGTCCTGAAGCCTGCTGTCTTTGTAGGTGCTAAATTCATGAAGCCTCCTGTCCTTTTGGTAATCACTTTCCTAAATGTAGCCTTCCGTTCATTGAAATTGAGTTCTTGATTCATGAAGGTCTTTTTGTACCCGTATTACTGACTCCTTATCATTTGCTGAAGCCGTCTGATCGTTTGGGTACCTTACTGCCGAAGCCTTGTCCATCTTGCCCCTTATTGCTGATGTGTTTTGCCCTTTTGTACCTTACTCATGAACTCTTCTGCTTTTTTTTACTACCTTTAAAAAATGTGTAACTATTCCTGAACCCAGCTGTCCTTTTTCCATTCGGTGCTTTTTGTACCTTATTCCTGAAACCTTGTGCCCTTTTGGAACCTGATTCCCGAAACCTTGTGCCCTTTTTGGTACCTTATTCATGAAACCTTGTGCACTTTTTGGTACCTTATTCATGAAACCTTGTGCCCTTTTGGTACCTTATTCATGAAACCTTGTGCCCTTTTGGTACCTTATTCATGAAACCTTGTGCCCAATTGGTACGTTATTCATGAAACCTTGTGCCCTTTTTGGTACCTCGTTCATGAAACCTTGTGCCCTTTTTGGTACCTTGTTCATGAAACCTTGTGCCCTTTTTGGTACCTTATTCATGAAACCTTGTGCCAATTTGGTACCTTATTCCCGAAACATTTACGTTATTTCTGAACCTTCTTTGCCCTATGGGTTCCTTAGTATCGAAGTATATTGCCCTCTTGGTATTGAAGTATATTGCCCTCTGGGTACCTTGGTATTGAAGTATATCATCCTATGGGTACCCTGGTTTTGAATTATATTGTCGTCGGATACAGATGTCTGCCTCTAATTGGGTCAATGGTTTTTTTAAAGTTGAAGTATATTTCCAGACTCGCACTGACGATGAACCCTTTTGCCCATTGTACCATAATGTCCTGCAATGAAGGAGGTTTTATTTTCTTTTTTCTATGCTATTTCCGACTGGCTAGCTTGGAGCCGTATTTATTTGTTCACCGTATTGTGGATGGGGCCGTATTTATTTGTTCACCGTATTGTCCACGTTGTGTTTGTGTATGAACTGTATTGACAATTAAGTACCGGACGGTTATTGCTAGCTGTAGCTTGTTTGTATATTCCGGTGCGGACTGTCAGATCGATGGCTTGGACGGTTTGACGTAACAATGTTCCCATTCGAATACTGTGTGTGTAGGTCTACTGAGGTCAGGGGTTCACTATGCCAGCAGCTTATGAGAAGTAGCTTTTTGTAATAGACGTACCTCTTTGATAAAACGTACATGTATTGCCCCAAATTGATAATATCATACGATCGGTATGTGAAAAAACAACATTTGTCAAATGTTAGATGCGAGATGTTTCTCCTCTCTAAATTTAGCACAAAACACTTCATCAAAATAAATGTTGAACGTTGATGTTCAGCCCGAAACCCATCTTACAGTATACGATATCGGGTAAAAACCACAACTATCGACGATCTGTGTGTCAAATCTACTGATGTGTGAAGATAGATGACCTCATTCCTGTGGAAAATTATACCAAATAAATACCAGCACGGTTTCTATTACCCCGGTAACCTAAAACCGTATACAGACGCACTACAACACGTAGATTGGAATCAGTCATCCGTGACATGTCAAGTCTTCTCTTTCTGGACCGAGTATTACCTGTGTACGTGAATTTGACCCTTTGGTTTCGCTGAATTCATTGACGCCCCTCCTTTCCTCCCAACCTTACATTTGTAAGTATCCCCGCCCCGTACTACTCTTTGAAACTAAGGATGCATTGGGTACTTTTTTCTCTCTCTCCGGTATGGTATGACTATGGTTTTGATAGAGCATTTCTGAAATTAAAAAAAATATGCGGAATTATGTTAAAAATAATACAAATGAAATAAACCGGTCGCACTACACTTACATTCGAAACGAAATTAAGGGGAGATTACTGTATGTATAAGAGTGAACTTTCTAGTGTTTTGCCTTTGTGGGTACAGCGTACAGGTGTCCTTAAAGTAGAGGCAGGTATATATATATAGACTTGGGTACAACGTGGTTCAAAATTAAAATAACCACCTTGTGACTAGTGCATTTTGATAGATCTACTTGAAAGTCCATTTTGATTTTAAAAAATGACGCTTTGCATGCAGCGTATTTGTTCTTAAATTTCAGTTTAGTACAAATGACAAGAAAGTATTAATATGGCCATTCTGTTGTGTTAATATATCGTTCACCGATGATCGGGTTATAAGTTCTACGTCACTTGGAGTGAAAACCTAGGACACCACAATATAGTAAGTTGTGTTGTCCAGGTACCGCTCCGGTACGTAATTCTAGCCGGTTACCTGATCGGTTGTTACCTCGAATGAATGCCGTATTTCATAAAGAGTTTCCCCGTAGAGTGTAGAAGATTATCGCTGAAGATAAGTTTTCCCATGGTCAAGTATGGTTAGCTTTATGTATCAGCTTGATTAAATTCGACATGGTTGATCGTATTCATCTTTCATAAAAAAAAAATAGATAAAAACATGGAGTGCTTTGATATTCAAAATAATGACGATCAAAATGTGTAGTCGTAATCTTCAACAATTTATTTAGCGACGCCCTGAGAAAATCGTTTTGGTCACTGGTCATTTCCCCCTGAGCTCGAATGGACACGTTCGGGCACCAGACAGTACATGTCTTTGTCCCTGGTCTTTTGACTGACCACGTGGTTTCAACATTTTACTCGGGCTCGTCGGAAGGCCGAATTCCTAGGGGGAAATCAACTTTAAAATTGACGTTTCAAACGTCCCCGCTTCGGAACACGACACCCCTCATCCTCAAATACTGTTCTGAGAGGAATGTTCCCGACATTCCGATCATTGCTATGATAATAAGGCAAACGAAAGCTAAGTATTTTTCATCAGAACTTGCAGTATACCTATACCTACTTCTATAATTGTGTTGGATCTAGATCAAAATTGGAACTTTATGATGTAGAAATTTTACCTTTTTAAATGCGTTGTGCTAGAAAGTTACAAATAAATGGAGAGTATCGGGCCGTTTTTGTGAGATATTTATGAAAATGTCACATTATAATTTTATTGTAAGGTGAGGTTTTTGATCACACAAAGCTCTCTTTGCCTACAATTGACAAAATTACACAGTAGTCTTTTGTGTAAAACGCGGGGAAAATTTGGTTCCACCCAGCCGTGTCGTTGTAGTGGTGCCGTAAATCGTCAGGTGCACACCGTAAAAATGTGTACACTTGTACCTAACTTCATTTGAGAGTTTAGACAGTTTAAACGGTAACTTTGATCTGATCATACAGTCAGATTTGCCGACACCTGTGTATAATGTAGTTGTGAAAATATATTGCGTGTTTACATTTCAGTACTCAATGTCACACCTACAAATATCACTTTTAGCAATTTAATTAGTGAGATTATGTAACTTAAGTCTAAAAAAAGCTAACAATACTTCAACGACAGCTTTGACGAGAGGAGACTCGGAAACATAATACGACACCCTGTTTCCAATCGTATACACTGTACAAACTCCCACAGACGCTGCGTACTCATAATAAGTTGTCAAAATTGAAGTTATCCACCCTTATTAGTCATGAAGACGGATACTGTACAAGGCGTGACCACACCCTTTAGGGCGTTAGGAATGACCTCTGTTAAAACCTTTCTAATAGATCATCATATACCTGTAACATAAAGGCCGAACGTGTCGTATGGAAAAACAAACTCTACCTAAAGCCCAAATATTATTTAAATTACGCTGGACGCTTTAGTTTCGATCTCGCCCACGTATTGCGTACTTACTTAACCGGTGTGTCAACACCTACTAGATGTATACACATACAGTATACAAAGTATAAAATCTATATATATATGTATGTATCTCAACATGTACGCGGTTTTCTCACGTTTTCCTACATAACAACTATCCCGTAATGAGATTCCCACAAATACATAAACTGACATTATGTCCCAATCACCTGTTCGCCTTCTAACATTTTCCCAGCGCATTCAGGATGCGATCATTTTAATGAAATTCATACGGTTTATGCAAATTATTTTCACCTGCAGTAAGACGACCGGGGTTCTCATTTCGATTGATCTTTTTAAGGATCCCCTTACCACTAACAAAACTGAATCTATGATATGGATTTTCATGATTCATTTCTTAAAAGAACCTCAATAGCTTGCGGGAAGCTTATAAATAAATAATTAAAATTGCAATAATAAATAAAACAAAAATCCACAATACTCTTTTGTGGAGAAAAAAAAAAAATGCATCTGAGCC